ACACCCAGCTAATTTTTTGTATTTTGTTAGTAGAGACAGGGTTTCACCATGTTGGCCAGGATGGTCTTGGTCTCTTGACTTCATGATCCACCTGCCTCGACCTCCCAAAGTGCTGGGATTACAGATATGAGCCACCATGCCCCGCCTTTTTTTTGAAATGGAGTCTCACTCTGTTGCCTAGGCTGAAGTGGAATGACATGGCCTTGGCTCACTTCAGTCTCTGCCTCTTGGGTTCAAGCAATTCTACTGCCTCAGCTTCCCGAGCAGCTGGGACTACAGGCACGTGCCACTACACCTGGCTAATTTGTTTGTATTTTTAGTAGAGACAGGGTTTCACCATGTTGGCCAGGATGGTCTTGAACTCCTGACCTCATGATCCACCTGCCTCAGACTCCAAAGTGCTGGGATTCCAGGCGTGAACCCCCACGCCCGACCAGATGTGAGGATTATCAAGAGGAAGATCTGCAAACTCTTGCAATATTTGTTGTGCTGAGTGTGGCCTTGTTCCCTCAGGGAATTATCTCTGCACTCCTCCCAGGCCAAGAGGCACCTTCCCCTGGTACAAGCCCTTCCTGGGCTGGCTTGATGTCCCTCCCTAGCTGCAGAGCCCTGACTCAGAGAAAGCCACATAAAGATGAGTAGAGGGTGCCTCATTCTACACTGTCAGTTATAGATGGGGAAACTCAAGATTGCCCTGGCTGGCCAGGTGACAGGTACTTAATTTAGTCTCTGACACTTGGGCCGTGACATCATTTTGAAGCACGCTGGGTATGTGAGAGTACATTAAATATAAGCGCCAGCTAGCTTGTCTCTGGGAGCAATTTCAAGCTCCACCTTTTGTATGTCAGCCCAGGCAGTAAAATATCTCACATACCCTTACACCAAAGAGATGGGCAAATACCCACACCTGTCCACACAGGCCCCTAAGAGCACAGACACCGTTGCCTTGGTGAACAGATGGTGTATTCACGACCTGGAACTCAGCCTTAGAATCCTAAGATCTTAGGAATGGACAGGATGCCAGTTGTCTTCCAGTCCAATACCCTCCCAGGTGTGGGAATCTTCTCTACAGCTTGCTTACCAAGTGGTTGCTTTAGCCTCTGCTTGATTGCTTCCAGTGACAGGGAGCTTACTCCCTCTGTGAGTTTGCCCATTTTGACTCTGGATAGGCTGTCTTCGGCGATGAACTGAAATCCGCTGCTCTGTAACTTCTGCACTTGTCTGACCTCTGGAGCCACACTGATCTAGGCTGCTTTCTGCGTGCCACAGCAGCCATTCAGAGATGCTAGGAAAGTGATTGTGGACTCTTCACAGCATCTTTTCATCTGGTTATTTATTCATCCACAGCTCCACAATTTTAATTTTAATTTAATTTTTTCTCACCATGTCTTAGGATGCTGACACAGTTTCTTCCACGGATGCTCAGATGTTCTGCTTCCTAAACTCCCTCACCATCCTCTAGAATTCTTCAGGAGGCCAGTTTGTCATTAGTCTTCTTGAAGTTCAGAGTGGAACTGAGCCCAGCACTACAAGTGTGGCCACGTCAGGAAAGTGTAGGATGAGACCATCACCTCCTTTTTTCCACGTGGTACTTCTGTTAATTCAGTCTCAGACCACACTAGCTTTTGTGGGCAGCCTTCTTTCCTGGTTATCGTTAGTGAAAAGCCCTAAGTCTTCTCAGGGTGAATATTGAGCCCTTTTTTCTGTGCAGTCTATTTAGGCAGCTCACTTTCTGTTTTCAGGTTCTGGACCTGACATTTCTCTATATGTTTATTTTTTTTTTGGTGTGTCCTTAGCATAATCTGGCCCCATTCCTTTGCATCTAGATGCCGCTGACCAATGTATTCTTTTTCCTTTCTGTTTTCTATTGTTCTAGATACTTAGTCAAGTTTTTAATGCAAAAGTATAACAAGTCAGGGCTTGCATGAGCTGTGAACAAGTGAAACATCATGGTCTGTGTGGCTGGGGAATGGGTTAGGTTTTTATCTCAGAGTAAGCTTGTTGGGGTGCAGGGAAGGGGTACATGGGGCTGAGGCCAAATTGGGAAGCCTGGGTTATTCTGAGATGTGGGCCAGGCTCTGGACCCCATGATTTCAGGGCCACAAAGAGAGACCAGAGAAATACCCTCTTCACCCAGCCATTGATGCCTTCTATGCCATCATTTGAAATTCCTTCCTCTGACTCAGGATTTTTGCTCATCAAAAGGGTGACACAGCATTAACACTCGAAGTACTTCCCTAGGGGTCTGGAGACCTGGGCTTTAAGCTCGGAAGCCTTTCCTTGCTTCTTGCGTCCCCATAAAGTGATGGGAATGTGTGGCCAGCAGTGACTGCTGAATTTTCCAGGGGTTCAGAGCCCTTTGAACCTTTGGTGGAAGTTGGAGCTACCCTCACATATACACAGAAATCTTTAGTCCCATGACTAACAATGCCAAGACAAGAAGCACTTTGAGGCCCCCTGACTTCAGGAGTCTGTAGGGTCCATGCTGTGGATGAGCATGGAACAACGGCCCACGTTTGCACAGCACTGCTGGGGATGGCCTCGCGTCCCTTCCCCATTCACTCCTCACAACAGCCCAAGAGCGGGGCAGGAATCACCATCACCTCTTCACAGACGAGGGAGCTGAAGCTTGGAGGCTTCAAGCTTCATTCAAGGTGAAACTGTTAGTGGTCCTTAAATATTCATATAGAGACCAGCACCTATGTCCCATATCTCTGCATTACACACACACACACACACACACACACACACACACACACACATTTATATATGTCATTGTCATCATTGATTTCAAACACCAACATTTCCCTGCATCTGCCCCCGCTGCCAGCTCATCACCATGCCTGACCTACCACCTTTTAGCTCAAAGTACATCTCATTGGTTTTCTGCGACTCACTCAAGGACTCACCCAATGTTTCCTGTGGAAACCGGGACTTATACCCACAAGGCTGGCTCTGGGCATTGGCTAAGCCATAACAGCCTCTCCCAGCAAGGCAGGACATGGTGCAGACATGTCATTTGCCCTTACTGGGAGGGTGGTTTGAATGAAACCAAGAGGAAGCACACGTGAAAGGGTTAACAAAGGGCTAAGTGATGGTTGATGGTGATGGGCTGGGCAGGGCCGGACCAGGCAAGGGCGAGGAAGAGCTGCTTCCACTGCCATCGTTCGTCTTTTGGGCAGATCCTAACTCTGTGGTCCTAACTGTGCTGCCGCTGCACCTCCCAGCAGGCCACCATGTTTGTGGCCTTGTCATCTTCCCCCAGGTTCAGCCCTATTTATTTGTTCTCATTGCCTCCGTGTTCCTCTTGACAAGGCTGTGTTTAACCAGCATGTTGAGGTATATTAAGTTTACCCTGCCCCCGGGCTCCCTCATGGAGAATACCTTTTAGTTTGTCTGTAATCAGTGGTGAGCAGGTAACAGCTGCCTACTTGGTATATTTTTGTGTCATGAGAAAATATAGAACACCTGTTTGTTGATAAAAATCACCTGTGCAGAGAGGATAACTACGTGGATCAGAATCTGCTGGGGGCCTTCAGCCTGGAATGCTATCAGCCCCTGACACTCTCAGCTCGGAAGGCTGTTGCCGGCCCCCCCCGGATAGACCCACTTTGCTGTTCTATCTGGGTGTTTGCCTCTCATTACCTTCAGCGCTGCCTGGGTGGGGGTCTCCCGGCCAAGCTGATACTTGGTACCAGCACATTCAGATGATATGAGGGGTACAGAGATGGATAAGATACAGTTCCTGCCCTAAGGAATCTGTGGGGATGAAAGATGAACTCCTTGTCTTTGGAAAGCTTATTGGCTGGGGAAGGAGACAGACAGGGACACCGTGAATGCCATACAAGGCCACCGTGACATGCCCAGTGATGGAGACTGGGAAGACCACTTCATGGACAGGTAACTGATCCTGACTCATGGAATCTGGGAAGTGTCCTAAAGATAACTGCACTGCAGCTGGACTTGGAAGCATGGGAAAAAATTGGATAAGGACAAGGAGCACTCCAGGTAGGGAGCATTGCCTGAGCAAAGGCATGGAGGTAGAAAGGCAGGGGCTAGGGCGCAGAGGCTTGCTGGCCAGAGCACAGGGAGCATGAGTTCAGCATGTGATGATGAGATTCAAAGCCAAGCCAGTGTTGGCACTGCAAGTTGATGTTGGCTTAAAACGTGCCAGTGTCAGCTAGGGGACCCTGACTGACGTGTGCTCTCTCCCTTTACAGAGGCCATGCCACTGAAGCATTATCTCCTTTTGCTGGTGGGCTGCCACGCCTGGGGTACAGGGCTGGCCTACTATGGCTGCCCTAGCGAGTGCACCTGCTCCAGAGCCTCCCAGGTGGAGTGCACCGGGGCACGCATTGTAGCCGTGCCCACCCCTCTGCCCTGGAATGCCATGAGCCTGCAGATCCTCAACACGCACATCACCGAACTCAATGAGTCCCCGTTCCTCAACATCTCAGCCCTCATCGCCCTGAGGATTGAGAAGAATGAGCTGTCACGCATCATGCCCAGTGCCTTCCGAAACCTGGGCTCCCTGCGCTATCTCAGCCTCGCCAACAACAAGCTGCGGGTTCTGCCCGTCGGTCTCTTCCAGGGCCTGGACAGCCTCGAGTCACTGCTTCTGTCCAGTAACCAGCTGGTGCAGATCCAGCCAGCACATTTCTCCCAGTGCAGCAACCTCAAGGAGCTGCAGCTGCATGGCAACCACCTGGAATACATCCCCGACGGAGTCTTTGACCCCCTGGTGGGACTCACAAAGCTCAATCTGGGCAAGAATAGCCTCACCCACATCTCACCCAGGGTCTTCCAGCACCTGGGCAACCTGGAGGTCCTCCGGCTCTATGAGAACAGGCTCACGGATATCCCCATGGGCACTTTTGACGGGCTTGTCAACCTCCAGGAGCTGGCTCTGCAGCAGAACCAGATTGGGCTGCTCTCTCCCGGTCTCTTCCACAACAACCACAACCTCCAGAGACTCTATCTGTCCAACAACCACATCTCCCAGCTGCCACCCAGCATCTTCATGCAGCTGCCCCAGCTCAACCGCCTTACTCTCTTTGGCAATTCCCTGAAGGAGCTGTCTCCGGGGATCTTCGGGCCCATGCCCAACCTGCGGGAGCTTTGGCTCTATGACAACCACATCACTTCTCTACCTGACAATGTCTTCAGCAACCTCCGCCAGTTGCAGGTCCTGATCCTTAGCCGCAACCAGATCAGCTTCATCTCCCCGGGTGCCTTCAACGGGCTCACAGAGCTTCGAGAGCTGTCCCTCCACACCAACGCGCTGCAGGACCTGGACGGGAACGTCTTCCGAATGTTGGTCAACCTGCAGAACATCTCCCTGCAGAACAACCGCCTGAGACAGCTCCCAGGGAATATCTTCGCCAACGTCAATGGCCTCATGACCATCCAGCTGCAGAACAACCAGCTGGAGAACTTGCCCCTCGGCATCTTCGATCACTTGGGGAAACTGTGTGAGCTGCGGCTGTACGACAATCCCTGGCGGTGTGACTCAGACATCCTTCCGCTCCGCAACTGGCTCCTCCTCAACCAGCCTAGGTTAGGGACGGACACTCTACCTGTGTGTTTCAGCCCAGCCAACGTCCGAGGCCAATCCCTCATTATCATCAATGTCAACGTTGCTGTTCCCAGTGTTCATGTCCCCGAGGTGCCTAGTTACCCAGAAACGCCCCGGTACCCAGACACACCCAGTTACTCTGACACCACATCCATCTCTTCTACCACTGAGTTAACCAGCTCTGTGGAAGACTACACTGATCTGACTACCATTCAGGTCACTGATGACCGCAGTGTTTGGGGTATGACCCAGGCCCAGAGCGGGCTGGCCATTGCCGCTATTGTAATTGGCATTGTTGCCCTGGCCTGCTCCCTGGCTGCCTGCATCGGCTGTTGCTGCTGCAAGAAGAGAAGCCAAGCGGTCCTGATGCAGATGAAGGCACCCAATGAGTGTTAAAGAGGCAGGCTGGAGCAGGGCTGGGAATGATGGAACTGGAGGACCTGGGAATTTCACCTTTCCGCCTCCACTCCTGGGTCTACGAAGCTTTCCGTGATTTCTCTTTCTGACCCTAGGGAAAGGTGTGCCTACCTCTTCCTGATTCTCCTGTAGAGAATCATGTCATGCCGGACCCTCCTACAATCAGGAATATCCAACAGGCCATGGCAAAAGCCCTGGGGATTTCTGATTCACACCCCTGGGCTTCCTTCAAGAGGACTCCTCCTCCAAATCCTCCCCACCTGTCCTCCAAGAACCACCTTCCCTGCGCCCAGGCCCCTTCCTGGCCTCTGTAGACTCAGTCCACAGCCTGCTCACTTTGTGGGAATAGTTCTCCGCCAAAATAGCCCCTCTCCTCTAAGTATTATGTGAGTTGATTTCCCTTTTTTTCTTCCTCTTGTTTGTGCTGTGGCTTGACCCAGCACGTCCCCTTAAATAAAAGTTCTCCGCTTGATTTTCTGCTCCTGAAGGCAGGGTGAATTCTCTCCTCAAAGAAGACTTCAAACTATTTAACTGGTTTCTTAAGAGCCACCAAGCAGCCTAGCTTTGAGGATGCTATGGAAGAGAGAAGGAAAGTCATGTTGCTCGGTTCCTGGAGACAGAGCCGTCATCAGCATCTCTCTTGTGATTTTCATCTGGAAAAGGAAGAAAGACCTCAGCACAGCAAGTTCAGGCTTTTAGAGAAGGATCTTTCCGAACTGTAAACTTTGCTTTGAAAAGTTTAGCCCTTTAAGGGATAAAATCATGTTGGATTTTGGACTTCTAAAAACATTAAAATCAGCTTATTCTAGATAGAGAAAGAAATCTTGTGCCTGGGGGGTTCTTGTGTTCACCCCTAGAGTTTTCCTTTTTACATTTGTAATTGACATATATGTACAGAAAAGTGGGAACATGATCGTATGTGGCTTGGTGAACTGTCACACACTGAACACACCTGTGTAATCAGCAACCAGACCAAGGCACAGAGCACCACAAACGTCCCCCATCCCGGGCTTTTCCCAGAGGAGATGGGGGCTTCTGGAGATGGACTAATCCAGGACCTGCTTCCCTTGAGCCAGGATGCCCCCTCCCACAGCCAGCCTGCATAAAAGCCCAGTGGGTGTGGACAGGATGGGAGACTCTGGCCTGAACCAGAGATTTTATTAAATCTGGAGATCCCGAGACCACGGCACCCTGGCTGGCCAGGTCAGAAGCATCCTGACAGCAGTCCTGTGCAGCCCCTTCTCTGCCAGCAAGCTGTCTGCATGCAGCTCATTGGAGGCCCCTCCGCCTGGAGCCTTTTATGGGCATGATATGCCTGCATCTGTTTTTAATTTTCATTCTTCACTTAGGGGACATGAAATAGCTCGGAGATGAGATCCTTTAATTGAAAACCAAGTATAATGAAACCCAGCATCTTTCTAATGTGGTAAAATTCTCCATCAACATCACAGCTAGCCAGAAGCTAAACTTCAGAATCTCACAGCAGGCAACACTGGGGTACATGTCACACTGGGTCTCGGGGCTCCCTGGAGCTCCTCCTGTATGTGGTCTGTTAGGAGTTGAGTTATTTGCTCCAGGGTTATTCCCCTTGAGTCACAGCCATACGAATGCCTGCCTTCTCCTGTCTTCCTGCTACACACATATTCACGTGCTGCTCAAGAAGTTACGCTCATGTCAACGTGTGTCTTTCTCTGGACAACTGGCCCACCAGTTTAGAAGTAAAAACGGTGAAATGGAGACTTTAGGGTCTCCAGGTCTGCCCAGGAAAGAACTTCCACCGACTCTGCCGGGATTTGGAAATCCACCACCAATCCTGATGGGTTCTTATTAGTTCCTCTGTTCCGCAAGACACCTGTGACATCCCCCAGGGCCACAGCAGCACAGTGCTGACCAGGTTTCCCTTCCAGTTCCCACACAAAAAGAGTCCAGAGAGACGTTTGCAAACACCAGTGCACTCTGTAGCTTTTCACTCCCTGCCCCAGGGAACCTAGGAGAGATGAGCCTGTCAGAGTCAAGAGATGTCATCTCCCCAAGGCAAATCTGGGTCTCCAAGGCATTTCCAAACTATTGGTAGCACCTGGAGGACCTGCACCAAGGGTTGCCAGGGCCAACAGGAAGTGAGTCCAGGGCCTAGCACGTGAGCATCACTCGATGATGGTGGCCTGTGTGGGCCTGGGGCCGACAGGGGCAGCTTGGCCCTTTCCCCTCGACAGGAAGCATGGGTTTTCCCACATTCCTTGTCTCCAGACCTGCTGGGTGCTCCTGTGAGTGGGCTCCCGCTGCCTTTGTGCATAGGCACAAGTGGGCCAGGGCTGGAGAGAGTTGGGGAGCCTCCTCACCTGGTGGGCCCTGCCAATCTTAGCCCAGAATCCCTGGGTATTCCTGTCAGTAGCCATGACATTGGAGTATTTTCCTCTCCAGCCCAGAGGCTGACCTGAGGGCTGCTGCCCTCAGATGATGCCACCCAGGAGCACCATAGGTGAGGGCTGGGGGCCCCTTTATTGTGAACCTCTCGCCTCTTCCTTCCTCCCATCAGAGTGGCTGGATAGAGCCTTAGGGCCTCCTTTTCCTCCACGGGCCCCTCAACCTCTCTGCGCCATGTTGTCTGGCTGGGGAGCTCCTAGAAAAGCTGCGTGGAGTCTCCTTTCCAACAGGAGGATGCGTTTGCTCAGGTCTCAGGTCTGGAATGAACCGCCTGGTCCCCCAGAAAGCTGGAGTAGGGTACAGAGTTCAGTGCTCTTCCCCTCCTTGACTCCAGTCCCACACCCATCTGGAGTGGGAGCCATGAGTCAGTGTTGGAGAAAAGCCAATTAGAACCACTAGTTTTAAAAAGTGCTTACTGTGCACAGATCCTCCTCAAAGCACTGGATGTGGATTCTCCTCTGGCCCTAACAGCACCCCTGTGGCATGAGTGCCGCCTCAACCCGCTGGTGATGAGGCACAGAGCCACTCGTTCTTCTGCACGGCATTCCATAGGCTGGGAGTTTTATTTATCTCTTCAAACTTTGTACAAGAGCTCATGGCTTGTCTTGAGCTTCACCATTAAACCAAAGAAAATGGAAGCCACTCCCCTGTTGGTCTCCTTCGTCTTGGTCATTGGAATCTCACTTGGTACCATTTAGATCAAAAGCTTTGTAACTGCAGGAAAAGATTACACTCATCCATCCCTTAAAGAATAGAATAGCTGGTCCCTCTCATGGGAATTGGGCTGTATGTATATTGTTCTTTCTCCTTAGAATGTAGAGATCCAGGAGTTCTTAGAACTTTTCGTGGACACACTTTCCACAACCTTTCAGATCCTGATGTAGAGCTGTTGGGAAGGAACTTCCACACGCTGGAAGCTTACAGAGAGCAGACAGCTAGAGATAACTCAGGAACCAGAGTTAGTCGACGGATGTTAGATATATCCCAGCCTTTAGTTATGAAGCACTCAAAGATTTAGCCCCCAGATCCCACAGTCAGAACTGAATCTGGGTTGCTGGGGAGGGAGTGGTGGCCTTGGAAAGGAAGCCATTACTGTGGTTCAGAGAGGGTAGGCTGGCAAGCCACTTCCGGGTAAAACTTCTTCCGCCTGAGGTTTCTTCTAAGGAGAGATCATTCTCACCAACCCACTGCCTTCATGCTGCCTTCCAAAGCAGATCATGTCTGCCTTGCTTAGAGAATTATGCAAATCATCCCCAGTGCTTGGCAATGCATTTAGAGATTTCTAGAGCCTTGGGGTTTTGTAGAGTGTGAGCCCTGGTGGGCAGGGTTAGGGGTCTGTCTTCTGCTGGATGCTACTTGTCATACGTTTGGTGCACAGAATCAACAATAAATGGTATACGCAGGCTGTGTGTGCTCTCTATGGATGTCTTGGTGAGGGGAGTCTCACACCTGTGGATTCTGCTCTTGCCATGCTTGTGCAAGGTACAGAAAGCAGATTCTTGGCTGAGAATAGGACTTTGGAAGGCGAGTGGGAGGCTAGTCTCAGTGGCTCACACCTGTAATCCCAGCACGTTGGGAGACCGAGGTGGGTGGATCACCTGAGGTCAGGAGTTCAAGACCAGCATGGCCAACATGGTGAAACCCTATCTCTACTAAAAATACAAAATTAGCGTGTGCCTGTAATCTCAGCCAGTCAGGAGGCTGAGGAGAATCATTTGGACCCGGGAGGCAGAGGTTGCAGTGAGCAGAGATTGTGCCACTGCAGTGAGCAGAGATTGAGCCACTGCAGTGAGCAGAGATTGCGCCACTGCCCTCCAACCTGGGCAACAGAGCGACACAGCAAGCTCTGTCTCAAAAAAAAA